TAACAAAAGTACATGGAGAAGAAGGGTAGTTTTGTAAATTAGTAAATTCTTTCTACCTGTTTTTCATATCTTCTTTGCATGACATGATTTCTCCGTAATGTCTCTTTAGATATCATTCTTTCAGAAAAATATTCAAGTAACTGATTCACAAATACAAGATATAATCATATAATATCAACTGTCTTAATGTGAGTAAATGAGTAAATGACCATTTTACCCTTCTGTAGGTAAAAAAGAAAAGTGAATAGGAGAAAAGATTTCTACATCTTTGCACAAAGGTTCCAAATTCAATTCATCTTCTGTGAGTTCCTTAATTTTTTTCACTTTAGGGAGTGCATTCATCCTTTTGTAACTTGATTTAACATCTGCAAAAGCCTGAAATTAAAGAATAAGAGAAATATCATATAACAGTTAAATGAAGAAAAAAAGTAGTGAAAAATGTGAATATTTACTCGTGTGCTCCCTTTCCATCCACATTTGGCTCGAAAACAAGTCAACACAGCTGAATTACTAAAATGTTCTATAAAATTCTATGTCAGGATTTTAATAAATAAAGTCGATTTTGAGAATATGAGGCAATTTACATACCAATCATCAGAAATGAAGAGAGAGTTTATTCTCCCCTGAGTCGCCACCTTTGCACTATTGAGTAGAAAGATGCATTTAGAATGGAATGAAAACTACAAAGTAACCGATCGATTTTTTATTTGTGTAATCTTCAATCACATTGATCCTTTTGAAATTTTCATAATGGAATGAATGAAAAACTATAACCTAAGCAATATGTATGCTCATTTTCTTATCAACAGGTCTGAGGTTATACATCGGAAATTTACCATTACATATGGATGAGGTACTAGTGCAAACAACCAAGAGCAGGAGGATCCGTATGGTAGAAAGAAAAACCAGAAAAAGAAGTGTTGGTAAACCCAAAACGAAACATCTTGAAGCGAGGTATACATATTAACAAACATTATTTGAGTTTTCATCATAAAAAATTATTTGAGATTTTGAATCCTAAGTTTTCTTGTTTTTGTAGGCATACAATGAATTAGCCACAAAGGGGAAAGAGAGGTCAGAGGTGTGACATTAACAAATTTAAGAATGTTTTTATGCTTAATGAACTAAATGGTTATTGTAATTTTTTTTTTCTGTTTCTTAAAATGAAAACATGATCAGTGATGTCCCACTTCTTATGGTTGGAATGGAATCATAGTAGGTTTGTATTTTGTAGAGATTGATCATTCGGTTACAATTCACATGGTAAAAGCTTTGCAGAAATTGAAGCGTTTGTTTCGGTTGGAATAGTTGGAATGGTGATCCATGTGTTCCGCAGCATCCATGGAGTGGAATTGGCTGATTAATAAGGCTGGAATGCAAAGCCAGAATGGGCTGGAAGGAATGGGGATGTGAGACATCAAGTACGGTTGTATTGGTGTATTAGATGTGTATATATGGTGTATTAGATGATACTTGAGACATCAAGTACGGTTGTGTATTGGTGTATTAGATGTGTATATATGGCGTATTAGATGATTGTATGTAATGATTGTATGCGATGGTATATGATACATATAGTACGGTTAAATAGCCGTACTCTATTATGCATGTAATCTAATACACCCCTCTACTAATACGCCCTACATGTACACGTACTATATTCATAATTTCAACCGTACTCTATTAACCTTTTTCTAGTAGTGTTAATAAAAATATAAAGTACTTAAAGAATTGATTGGCCACTAAATAATTTTGTTTTAGAAGTATATGTGTAAAGAAATTTGAAAAACTTAAACGTCAATATTGATGTTTTTGTTGGTAATTACGAAACTGAGTAATAAATAACAATTACTAAACTAACTAATAAGAATTTAATGAAAAAGAAAATAGAGAGAAATGATTGATGAAATGTGTTTACTAATGGATTTATAAACCAAACTTATTATGATTAGTTATTATCGTAATTTTAAGGTTATATTTTTTTTAGGTAGAGAGGATTTTTTTCGCTTATTTACTATTAATTAAATAATTTGAATATTTGATACATATCTCCTACAAAGTCATAAAATATTAAATATTATTATCAATATAAATTAAAATAAGCAAATTTTATATAATAATTCATAGATTTGATATATAGAAACTCTATTATTAGAAGAAAAATTCATGTTGTAATAACATATGACAAAACTTATTTTTCAACTCTTTATATTTGAATCGCAGAAATATGTCCAAACACATTAAAAAAATTTATGATCAAAACATACTTATATACTACTAATATAGTTACATTATGTATAAATGAAAGGAAAATAAAAAAGTCATTACCAATTAATAACCATAAGTTAAAAAATAATAATAATAATAATAAACTCTTATAGTGATCAATTAACTTAAACTTGAAATCATTAGTACAAATAAATTAAAAAACTCGTGAGTTATAGTGGAGTTTCAAATAGATTTGATGCAAATAAAATTGTCTCTTGAAATTTTATTGTATTTTATTTTATTCAATTTTTTTATATATAATTAGTTTATATTTAACATGTTAAAGAAGATAGTTTTATATAGACGTAGCGGATAAACGACAAAATATATAACTAAGCCCATAAATATCATCTAACTATCATAAGTAAAAAAATATTTTGAGTTGTAGTGGCTAATGCTAAATAATCTTAATTTAAATTTGAAAAGTTTCAATATTAAAAATAAAACTTTTATATAATTAAACAATTTTCATTGGATTAATATGGTTCAAAGGTTTATTAACGTGGATACATATCTCTTGCAAAAGTCATTAACTATTAAAAACTTTTATCAACAGTACATCACATCAATATGTTTGTTACACGGTTCTTGGTATGCATCATAACTTAAAAGAAAGTTTTGTAAATATTGTCTTCCTTTTTCATCCAAAGATTTTATAATTTTACATTCATTTATTTTTTAATGATAGTTCCTAATATAGGTTATAGATTTCCTACGCATACTTTAAACCGTATAATTTTATTCATGTGCAACGAGCGGAAACACACCTAGTTTGTAAATAATGAAGGCCCTTAAAATGTATGAGTTGACATATTAAAAAAAAAAAAAAAAAACTTTATTCTTCAGAAAAAATAGTGTGGGGTGGCATATCTTAAAGAAGAGATCAGAAGGAAAAAAAGGCAATAAATGTGACATAACGAATTAACAAAAAAAAATAATTAAATGCATCGAGTGACTTTTTTTGATAAAAGGTAATAGGCCCTCTAGTCTAATATAATTTCAAAAGGATGTATTTGTTTGTTTATAGCCAAAATAAACGTGTAAGCAATGAATTGTTAGACTAGTATAGAGGTTGTCGCACGCCGCGGTAGATGATGTATCATCATGGTGATGCGGTGAACACGACATCCTTTAGTTGAGGGAAAGACGGTAAGGCTACCGCAAAGAATGAGAGTATACCACACCTTTTTTCTTTTTTCTTTTGATAGTTGTGTGTGTAAGGTAAAGTATGGTATCATCCGTTTTGTGGGGTGAGTGAAAAATAATATGACCTTGAGGTGACATGAACAAAAGTATGGTAGGATTTATTACCACACCTCCTGGTCTTATAACAAAAGTTAATTTTCAAATTTCCTTAGTTTTAGGTGATTGAATATTTCATTATGATTCTTGAAGTGGAATTAATTTAATTTAGCATTCAATGAACGTGTTTCAATAAAATTAGTTGCAAGTTGATACATGTAACGTTTATTTGTATATAATATTTGTATATAAGTATGCAACAAAAATAACAGAAAGCTTTTAAAACATGTTAAATTACATAAGAGAACTTATTTAAAACATCTCATTGATTTTCAAAACACATAATTAACTGAATTTGACGAACAAAACTTTTTTTTTCTTTTCAAGCTATTATTTTATAATTCAGAAGTTTCCAAAAACCGTGTGCTGAAGAACCATTTGATTATTTCAAACTAACCGTATTTGGAAAAAGCAAACAAGGAGTTGTTGGAAAGAAATTCCTATCTATACCATAAAAAATTACAAAACCACCCTTAACTTTAATTAGTTGATTAGTTGATTCTCATTCTTCAAGAAGGAATAGTCAATTTAAAAACACAAATTACGTTTTTAGAAAAACTAGCTGGTAGCAAGTAGCTGCAAGCTGTATCTTTTATTTGTTACATAAGTGTTTGACAAAAGTAGTTGAAAACTTTTAAAATACGTAAACTTACATTAAAAACAATTGTTTAGAAAAGATAAATATATAAATATATTTTTAAGCGTAATTATAAAAATTGATTCTAAAAGTCCAATGGTTTTTTCTTAAACACTAAATTTAGTAGTTTTTAGATGTGAAGCGTTTGATTTAAACTAAAAGATATTTCAATATCAACCGTATTTGGAGCATGTAGGGGGTGGTTGTAGCGAAATTCCTATCTAGATCATATACAATTACCAAACCAGCCTATAATTAGCTGATTATTTAGCAATAATCAATTTAAAAACACAAAGTAAATATATTTTTTTACGGTCAAGCAAGAGTGTTGACTTGCTGTAAGGAAACTTATACGGAAACTGTTATCAAGATAAACATAAAAAGAACAAATCAGCCTATAATTAGCTGATTATTTAGCAATAATCAATTTAAAAACACAAAGTATATATATTTTTTACGGTCAAGCAAGAGTGTTGACTTGCTGTAAGGAAACTTGTACGGAAACTGTTATCAAGATAAACATAAAAAGAACAAATTAACCCTAACTATGATTAATTATCATTTGATTTAGATTCTTGAAATCAAAATAATAATGTTATTGGACTACAATTAAAATTTGTAAATGCAGTGTATGTACCTGACTATCATCGATATTTCAAGCTTTGGATTAGGAAGAATGCCCGACATGAGAACCAAAAATTCATACGCCTAGTACTCCAAGCTAATTCACATAAAACATCCCACAATTAAATCTAAATTCTCTCTACAAAAACCAAAAAATAACTTCAAAATTTTACCAGATCATGAGTGCAAAAGGTATACTCAACGAAACAAACTCTTCAAGATTTAGAAATGCTTCTTTACAAAACCTTGTCCATGTCTTCTCAAAAGTGCATGAAAACTTAATATAAATCGCCAAAAACGACACTTGAATCCAATAAGAAATAGCACAGGCCAAAGCAGCCCCATTACTCATTAATCCAAACTTTAAGATCAAAATCCAACATGCAAGAATGTGAACTAAGCATGTAAATCCACTGCTCAACATCAACACTTTTGTATTACTTTGAGCTTGCAAGAATCGGAATTGACACTGAAGAATCCCATATGGGAAAATACTGGGAATCAACCAACGAGTGTAGGTTTCGGCTTTCATTGAGATCTCTACATCTTGACCAAACCAAATGAAGATAGTGCATGTGTAAGTCCATATGATTGATATTGGAATAGCTATAAGCATCAAAACTAGCATAGCTCGTTGAGTGTATACTCCAAGCATGTGATATTGGTGTGCTCCATAAGCTTGTCCACAAAACGTCTCGAGTGCACTTCCAGTTCCTAGCTAATTATATATGGGTCATTTTTTTTTCAGGAAAACAACAACCCAAGTTTCTTTATATGATTGTGTTGATAAACATGCATGGAGATTAGCAGTACATAAATCAAGGTGATGATTGAAGGGTTAAGAAATGAAAATTTGTTCTTTTTATAATTACCAGGAAGTGGGAACCAGTGACTGCAGCAAAAGAGGAAGCCATTGAAGCAACAGAAAGGGAGAGCTCTCCGAGATGGCCGATGAACATGACCGATATAATCTGCAAACTGTAATCTAAGAAACTGACTAAGCAAAGAGGTCCAGCCTGTTTCAGTTGTTGCTTCAGTTCTTCCATGGTCTCTGATGATTTGATTGTACCCATTTCTTGCTGCAACTCCATGATTTTTCAAGAACAATATAATACCTTGTTAAAGAGCATTTGATCGAGCAAGAACTAAAGAACTCATGATCATATAATTTATTCTAGTTTATCTTATGATATACTTTTAGAATATCAAACAATAGAAGATAGAAGATGACTAAGAAGATGACTAAGAACTCACTATATAAAGCATAGAATTTTTGGTGTGGATATTTATCATAAAATCATGCATGTTGATTGGTATGATTAGATTTGCAATTTTTGAATCTTTTCCTTGATTATTACGATTCATCAATTATGATATTGGTGTCAATGTGTAAGAAATTGTTATTCTTGATGTTATTTATTAATTTATTTTGATTTAAGTGTATATCTATTTATTATTCGTAAGTTTCAATACTAATTACATCTTATAAGTTAACTAAATATAATAATAAAATATAATGATTCATATATATATATATATATATATATATATATATATATATATATATAGGCAAAAATTCAACAAGAAACCATTTTAAACCATAGAACCAATGAACCATTATTTTTTCAAGTTTAGATCTTATTATTTATCGAAAAAAAATTCTAAAAATATAGAAATTCATAACTTTTTATCTTCTTTCCATTGATATAAAAATTGATAATTTTATTTTTTTTTACTTTTTTTATCTAGTTCAGATTCACATTGTGAATATGCACTATAAATCATTAATTTTGTATAAATTCGATGTATGAATCTGCACAAATTCACAGTGTGAATCTGCACAGATTTCACAAGGTAAATCTGAACAAATTCACAGTGTCTGAACAGATCATTTTTTTAATCAAATTTGATATCAATGGATGGAGGATAAAAAATTATGAATATCTATATGTTTAGTGTTTTTTTTTTTGATGAAAAATTTGCTCTAAAAGTTGAGAAAAGATTGGTTCCTTGGTTCTAAGGTTTGGAATGGTTCCTTGTTGAACCCAACCCTATATATATATATATATATATATATATATATTATATATATATATATATATATATATATATATATATATATATATCTATATATATATATATATATCTATATATATATAGGGTGTGAAACATATGCATTACACGAGTTAATTAATAAAAAAAGTTTAATATCAAGGTATAAACATTAAATATTTTTTTAAGGTAATACTTTTGTTCACAATCTGGATGGGTGTTCCTATTGAACGGTGGAGCGGTGACGTGGAAGAGTTCCAAGCAGAAGACAGTGACTGATTCTACTTGTGAATCCGAGTACATAGCAGCGAGTGAAGCGTCAAAAGAAGCAGCTTGTTTGAAGAATTTCATCGGGGATCTTGGAGACATTCCGACTATTGAGGAACTCTTTTGTAATAATGAAGGCGCGGTTGCTTTAACCAAAGAACTGAAACATCATGGAAGGTCCAAGCACATTGATAGGAAATATCATTACATTAGACATATAGTTGAAGATGGGTATCTCCTAGTGAAGCAAGTGTCATCATAAGATAATCCTACTTATCCTTTCACAAAGGCTCTAAGTAAGGGGAAGCACATCGAGCATGCTAAGAGCATTGGTTTGAGAGACGACATTAGTTTTAGTAATTAGTTGATAGGTTGAAAATTTTAAACTTTTAAACAAAATAAATTGTAATTTTTTTTGATGATTATATAATGGAGATTTATTTATGAGTATTGGTACTGCCTTCTTTAATTCTTTATTATTGTGTTTCATTTTGCATGTTTTACTTCCTGAATAATTTTGTTATCAAATTTCGCAGTCGTTCATACTTTTCGAAGTAAGTAGTGAATCAATATTGTTATGTATTGATTATAGCTTGTCTATGAGTACTTGGAAAATGGGGATTTTGAGTATCGAATAAACCCACTCTTAGAGACTACTTCATGGATTTTATCACGAGTAATTCTAAGACGATAATATCTACTATTCTTAAAGCGGAGATATATAGTTCATAGTTTACGAATCAGTTATGCATTGGTTACCCAAACACCTCTCGTAACTGGATGTTATAAAGAGTAATTCCATGCATGATTTGGTAAGTAAAGCGTATGATTATATAGTTCTTTTTGCCCTAACATGAAAAGCGATATATTTGGGGCCCTCGATGATTTGATGTTGACATTGTAGTGTTGGGCCCAGCCAGGACTAGATTGATGTGTTCAATAAGTATTATGATGACTTCATCATAAATCGGGAAATCGGGAAACATAATCTTAGAAAATGAGATTGATTATAATTCATGTCTTGTGTCCATACGATCTTGAAGAACGAATGAGTAGTTGATCACTTATCTTAAATGTCCGATATGATATAGAATTCAGCAACGGTTTTGGAAAGCACTATTTGTTGTTTGGTTCAGGGTAATATTAGCAGTTGTAGTTATAGAATTATCCAAGTGGGAGACTGTTGGATTAAGGTGTCTAAGCTCATAACTAAATTGGTATAAACTTGTAATTAGAAGCAAAATCCTTTTTGGCTTGCCCTCATAACTAGAAACTGATTAGAATAACATTTTTAGAGAGGAAATAATTTATTAGTTTATTATATGATTAATAAATTAATTAGAAATAGTTTAAATTTATTAATAATTGATCATAATTAATTTGGAATTAATTTGTGGTCAATTAGAATTAATTATAAGTGCAAGGGCTGCTTGGTAATTGCTTAATAGTTGAGCAAATGAGAGGTTCTAGAAACCTCTTGATGGGGACAGTTTTAGAGTGTCTTGCAAGGCAATCTAGAATGTTCCATTTAATTAAAGGAAAGTAGATAATTATCAGGATTTGAAATAATATTATTTTATGTTCAAATCTAGGGTTTCTAGGTTTTCCTATCAACTATATAAAGGGGCATTGGCTTGCAAATTTCATCCATTCTATTCTAGAGAACCATAGCCGAAAATTTGCATCCCTCTCCTCTCTCTTCTCTTGTGTTCTAGCTTCTAGCTTTGGGTGTGAGCCATCAAAGGCATCATCATTTTGGTTCTTGCCTTCTACAGATCTACAAAGGAAGGAATCAAAGGAATTGTTTACAATAACAATTCAAAAGGTGTGTAACCCTAATCTATGAATTTCAAAAATAGTTGGGATAGTACAGGGTTTCTAGTTCGTAGTATAATGCCTTAATGTGAAGATATAGATCCTTAATAGTTTGCATGTACCCATAATTGTTAAGTGTTATTTTCCGCATTGTACATGAAATTTATAACCTATGAATCCCATCATACGCCTCTTTTTCAAATGCCGACTCCAACATCGCCATGTGTCGCTATTTCATGGTGCCACGTGTCACATGCTCATTGGGCCACGTGGCACGCTCATCAAGCCAAGTATTTTTCACAGATCTTCGAACGGCCATAACTTTCACATACGAGCTCCGTTTTCGACATTCTTTATATCTACATGTAGCTATCAACGAGTATTATAACATTACTTTAGACCCCAATAGATAATTCTCACTCTATTTTAAATTCATATTTTTATAGATATTACACTGTTAAAGTCTGTGCAAAAATCATAACTCCTTCATACGAACTCCATTCTCGGTTGTCTTTATACCGAAGGAGTCATATTTACGAGATATTCAACTCTTATTGATATTGTTTTGGCTAACACTCAACCGATTTAAATTTCAATTTATGTGTCAAACACTGATGTATCGGAGCTTTAAAAAATCATAACTTCCTCATACGAAGTCAGATTTTGGTGTCCTTTATATGCACACTTTCGCTTTTACGATTACTAAGAATTTATTTTAGATTATTTAAGCTAATAAGTAACCTATCTTCGATTCAATTTTCACGACACACTTTGTCATATTGGGTTGAACGTGAAACTTCGAACAATCATAACTTCTTCATGCGAAGTCAGATTTGAGCGTTCTATATACCCACGGAATCGTCATCACAACTAATACAACTCTCATCAAGATTATTTATCCTAAAGAATCTTTATCAAAAAATGTTATTTTTATCGCTTAGTGATAAAAGGTCTATATAGTCCGTAACGTGCACGACTAACAATTATCCTATTCGGGAATTTTAATTATTCAATAAATGAATAACTACGACTAAAACATCTATCCCTTGACTCATGAGTCATGACTGTGCAATCTTTTTTAAATTCATCAATGTCATATTTATATTTGGAAACAGGAATATTATTGGAAGTGATAATAGAAACTATTTGTTGGGTGATTATACCCTTGGCATCATAAATGATTCAGCCTTGTTAGTTGTGAAACTGCAATCGTGAGTTGCCATGAAAGCTCTATGAGTTAAACGCCTCATCTCTTCATCATCTGAACTAGAGGACCAAACTTGTGTGCCTTCGTAATCATTTTCATGAGCAATAAGTAAGAGATCTTTTGTTTGTTCCTTTAGTTCACGAATTTCTTTCAGCTTCTCAACACAGTAAGCTTCATCCTTATCATATTCTTCTTTCAATTGCCTTTTCTTAAGCATGCAACATTTTGCGAAATGATTCTTTCTATTACAGTAGTTGTTATCAAATCTCGAATCACCAACTAACTTCTTCTCGTTCTTTTCATTGTGGTTAGGTGGAAATTGCCACTTTGGGCCAAAAAGGTTTGTGCTAGCACTCATGGTCCAAAGGTTTACATTTTGTTGCCACTTTGGTCTAAAACCTTAACTGCCATCACTTTTCCCCCGTTACCATCCATTTGACTTGTCAAAGGGAGGTTATTTTCGACATTCCCTGTTTTACTCACTTTATTTAATTAATAAAACCCTCCTATAAGATCGATGATACTACGGTGTTCAAGCTTTTATCCCCTCGTTCTCGTCTTCTTCACAAGCCCTAACACAGTCACTATTCACTCTTTCATCTGAAGAAATTGACAATGGTGTTGTGTTTCTATGGTAAAATGGCTATTGTTTGCACTTCATGGACCGACAAAAACCCAAGTCGACGATTCTGGGGATGCCCTACTGAGGTAAGAAAATGGATTTTGTATTTTCATCATTATTCTCCCATT